ACATAAATATTAGGTATCGGTCTATTTTGTTTGCCCATTTTAGAGACATTTGCAACATAGAAAAATAAGTAATATACATGAAATAGTGCTAGTCCGATAGGGCAGATATATTGGTAAATAATTATGTCTCGAGATCTCAGTTTATCAATTTAGAGATTCCGGGAGAGCGTGAAAATCACCGATACTGCAAAGTCTATCAATAATTATGAATCACCCAGGTATTGAAAGGGAGAAAAGTGAATAACTTTTCAAAAGATAATTGCAAGAATAATTATTTTGTGAAAGACAAATTATGGTACAACGCAGAATATGTTACTATTTTAGCAATTAGATTCGTAAATTTGTTTATTCGTCAATTCATTACCAATCTGGAAAATCTGATAGGATTGCATATCAACTTCTGAAGGAGTATATAAAGAAGAGATATTGACGTCACGTTTATTTAGTCCGGTTATAATTGTCCGGTGTGTAATAAACCCACCACAAGCAACACCTACGTTAAATAATGCAATCGATAATCAGCTAATAATAAATTTGAACGAGCTGCAGTCCCTAATGAGGCGGTGCGATGCTTCCTTTAAATTATGCACCATGAGGAGCGGTGACACGTTAGATTGAAACAAGAGAGAAAGATGCCAGATAATTTTCAATGCAGAGGCATAGAGGATGCGCTACTGTACCGGGTGTAAATAAAATATTAAATATAACATTTAATAATTCAATGTACAGTATTTAGTAACTAATGGTACTATAATATTTAAAAATAGAATTAAAAATCACTGGAATCATAAAAGTACTAACTTAATTACTTAACGAATAAAGTACCGTCCAATAACTACTCGGCTGTTCATTAATTTGTAAAATGCAAAAGTAAAAACAAAATTAAAATTCTCCATTTCTGTTTACACATTTTCTAACTCACCTCACTGTTAGTATTTCTGATATTAAATCTTTTGACCTTTCAAAGTGTACGTTCACTTTCACGTTCATAGAAATATTATACAAATTCTCCAAGACTCATGAACTGAATAAACAATCGCCCAGAACCGATTTGATGTACCAAGAATAGCAATTATAACTAAAGAAGGCACGAATATTTTGTGGTACTTACAAGGGAACTTCATCAATTCATTGAAACTTTGCTGTTTGTAGGAAATCTCAATAGAATTATCAAGCAACTTTTAAATTTTCGTTTCAAAAATTTCTTTATATCTAGGATAATATTAAAAATATACAGGAAAATAGGAAAACATAGATTAACTTTTAATAACTATTTTAACCCTGAAAAACCAAACAAAAATTGTCCGATACTTCTATTGACACCCCTTACAAACCTGCAGCATTAAAAAAAACACTGGCATTTTCAGGTTACCGAAGTTCCCCTGTTTAGTAGCAATAATAATTCTTCACCACCCTTTATAGAAGCAAGCCACTCACCCTCCGGCCGTCCAGCGCAGAGTCCCGTCGTTCGGCCATTTTCCGTTTCGCCAGCAGCAGCCCGGTCCTTTGTCGCCATCAGATTATTAACTATCATCGAAAGGTAAATGTAGCGTGGTCCCACAGGTGCAGACGATCAATAATTCATGCACGACGAAGTCGTTCTCGCCCGAAAAGGATTAATTCGGGCATATACTCACAGCTTTGCTCGGCTACTATCCCTGTGGTCCTCTTCGATGCGCCTTGGTAGGCTCTTCGAGAGTCTATTGTCGATCGTTCCAGCGGCCTCCAACCCCCACGGACGTCGAACTCCATCGTATTTATAAAGTTCTCGGACGCGAAGAGTGGTCTGGACACTCGACTATCGGGACAGCCGGTGAACGCGAACCAGGAAGATTCGAGGAAGATTGCCATTGAAAGGTCACGGATGAAAACTTCTTAATTCTCCACGACGTGCTCCAGTTTTCCCGGTACGTAGACGGTTGGTCCGCAGGGGGGAGCAATCCAGGGACCCTTTTCATCCAGGGGCAGCGTTATTACAGGGCCTGGGAAAAGAAAAGTTCCGTTTCACACTCGACCCCGGGCCATTTACGAGGCCAACCGGGTCGGCCTAACCGTTAAGAACGCGAGTCGTGCCGGGCGACGATAAACGCGCCCGCCCTGCCCCCCTGCGACCTCCCTCGTAATCGAGAAACAAGTTCAACGGGCAGAGCCAGGGATTTATTTCGATTGCCACGGTCGGTCGCCTTCCCCCGCGGAACAAGGAATGAATAGAAACGCATCGCGTGACTATGATTTTATTACCTACCGTCCGCTTCCGGGTAATTTACCCGAGAAATCGCTCGACGGCTTGAACCTGACACGGGAAATTCTGTAATTCCTTGAGTGGCCCCTTGATTGCTCCTGATACTCTCGTGGTTCGTCCCTTTAAGTTTACGAAGACGATATTCTTGGAGAATGCACGTAGACAGTGACTAACTTCGCTTGGACTCGTATAATATCGTTTTAAATATATTGTACTGCTGCATGAAAAGTGTCACAAGGAGATAATATGTCATTTTTCAGGAAAACGAAACGAACGTGATTATGCACGTAGCATTTCGTATGTACTAAATAAAGCGACAGTGGCGCCATCTCGCGTGAACTACTGGACCTCAATGTGTGACGTTTTTCTGGACGGTGGATTTACGTTTCGGTAGATATTTCGCGCGATAAAATGGAATTGAACATTTTTTTACTCGTGACAGTATTTCTCTCGCTGGAGTACGTTATCTTGGGATTTCACCTGTAAATAATATATTCTAAGATTTAATCGTCTAAATGATAGACGCTTCTTTGTTATAATTAATAATGTATTCGTTTACGTAATGATTTAATACTTTAGAATTTATTTTTGAAAAATAAGAGAGCTTGGAAGATTTGGATTTAGAATCACTCATGGAATTACAAAGTTTGGGAAAAGAAGGAAACCGTTTTTCCAGGAGGTTCTCTCCGCCGAAGATTTCCTATAAATTCGTTAATCTTCCTGGGTATAGCTCGTTGGTTTCTCGACAGACGCGTATCCGCGGGAGGTTTCCCTTTGTAAAAGTTATCGTTTTCATAACTCATCCCGTTCAAAGAGGGTGGTTTCTGCCTGGGGTTGACCGACCAATGAAAATATGTCCCTGTTACGAGAGGATTAGCGAGGATTAGCTGAAAGATTTAGAATCGTCTCGTGCTGCGTGCTCGCTAAACGACTAAGCCGGAAATATGATCACCTTTCCTCGACATCCCCGAGGCATCAATTACATAAAAAAAAATAATATGGTTAATCAGCACGCGAGGCACTTTTATTATATCTCGTCGAATTACCCTCGAATCAATTACTGAAAATAAAGTACAACAAATCTATGGCATCTAATTACTCACAAAGGATGTTATGAGAGTATCTAATAATAAACGATATTGAGATCTTCCTTTTCATGAAAAGATAATGGAAAGTAATATCAGGAAGTGTACGAAGTTATAAAAAGAATCACTTACCCCCATACTGTCAGACGTAGCGAAGAAGAAACAAAAGGCATCACTGCTTTGTCTTCCATAAAAGAGATACAGAAGTGTAGTGGGATCAGTGGATTCATGTTGTACCGTATGTTCGCCAATCTCGGTTAGGCGGATAGAAACAGGATAGTGCTACGACTCATCATAAGCTTAGGTTACGAGTTGTCCAAACTGCTGCCTGTATAAAGAAATGAAGAGATACACTTTCCTTATCTCGAGGCGAATGCACAACCCGTAAAACCGTCTTCCCAGTTTTCTTTAATGGACTTTGCTGTTTCATTGGATGCGTGAAGCTGCAATTTAGAAAAACTTTGGACGAACATACAATCCCGGACCTTTCTTCGAATACTAAGTATATTCCTCCAAATTGTATAATCATGCAAAACTGGTATTTGCAGAATTTACGAATGTGTCCTTTCTATTATGAATTAATTTTAATATTTTAAAGAGATTTAGCGAATTTTTTTTAGATTAAATCAATATTTTCTACTTAACATTTGAAACAGAAATTGAAATTATATTTTTAATTATATTTTTCGTAAATGCTACAATTGTTCGACTAATGAAGTAACATTTATGATCGAAATATTTACAATTATTTAGTGATACATTATGCAAAATGTAGAACAACTTATTTGGTTACCAAAGCGTTGATAAATTTATAAAAATGTCTGAAGTATATGAAAGTATGAGGTATCTTTTCCCTGCATCGCGGAATTGGAGAATTATGCAAACGTAACATACCATGACCCATTATCCTGCATTTGCACAGAAAATTTATTCTTAACTTTTGTTGTTTGTGTTTTTATCTCGTACGTTAAGGATATGAAGAATGCAAATATAAGATTATGTAATTTAGTTGTAAAACCGTTCGTTCACACTTTCCGGTGTTAACTTCCGCCGTATGTTGCCACGGGTAATTTGAATGGCCAAGGATTATTCTGAAATTCAAATATAGGGAAACACAGGGAAAGGTGCGTTTCCACTACACAGCTTCGCCATTAGTTTACGATTCCCAGGGGTATACGAAGGGTTGCGCGTGACGGTTATAAGGCCCTGTAACGGGGAGTCGGATAATGTCGCGCCCTACGAAGGGTTGACTCCAAGTTATAATTGCTATATGTTAACCAGAGGGGATAGGCGAGAAAACGGCAATGTTTTTATTATGAATTTCCACCATTTTCCATCGGCGTTCACTTTCGGGAAATTGTAAAATTCTGGTTATGTTGATATTGAAATTTTCATGTGTAGTAATATTCTATTCTCTTTTAATCCAAATGATACTAGAATAAATATTTACAATCAGTTCTTTACGCCTTGACAGCATAAATAAATATGAAGAACGAATATTGATTATATTATTTCTAAACAGTTCCTAATAATATTTCTAATACAACAATAATCATCTAATACAAAGAATATTTCTTAAAACATATATTTATCTCATTTCGGATTACAACAAAAATTAACTTACAGTGTTTACTACAATTTTGTTTATCAAAAATTTTCGCAAATTTGATATACTATTCGAAAAATTTCATCTTTTTATTGAAATTCATATGGAACAGTTTTAATCGTTTCAACCACCTTATCCAGTAAAGCTCCAGGAGGTTCTGTTCCACCACGTGAGGAGTCGCCGGTTCACCACTGCTGTAAATATCCACGATCAACCCTTTGTTTATCTGTAAGTTCATTTACAATGTCACATATCTGCGTCAGTCTCCATTATTGAACGTGTTACATCACTTATGCCAAAAGAGTAGGGGTTTTCCTACTATTACACCTATGAAAACCAGGTCATTTTCATAATCTCTTTTAGGGAAGCATATGTAAGACTTTCAACATACTCAAACACCTTTAATAACATCGTTAAAAATTAACGCTCGTACAGATGTATTAATTTCAGTAATCGTTGAACTTCCGAACACATGATTAAAAAATGTGTCGGTTTAATTAAACTATGTCAATTTCACGGATTTGTGTGGTAAAATAAAATTCCTCCCACCTCCAAAGAAGAAAGACCTTTGAATTCAATACTGTCTCCCGACATTATGAAATTCAACAAGAGATTGAATATTCTCAGAATAATTACCATAAACGGGAATGCATCAGAGGCATTCACAGCTCCAATGGCAGCAACAAGCCGCAACATTGTGGGATGAGTAATTGGCGACATTATTGTTTGCACATTTGTTTTTCTCCAAAAAATTAAATGTAAGGCACCCCTGTACAAGTCATTTGAACAAACTGAAGATACAATAATACATGAGCTAATTCACTGTACTGGAAGAGACACTAAGTACAAGAGAATTATTGTATGTTGGAAAGATCGATATATCTTTTACCTATAGAAAGCAATGCAGGGTGCTGTTTCCCTGTATCTCAAGACTGGATGTTTTACAGAACGTGTAAGAATCTTTATTTTCTCCATGTCATTTAAAACAGGTTTCACGCTCCTGTATAATAATTCAACATTAGGAGAAATTTGAACTTCTTTCTCTAACAATGTGTCTTTTATGTGAGAGTAAAATTGATTAAGAAGTTCACGTCGGTCTAAAAAAGAATAGATCAATGAAAGTAAATAGAAAGCCAGGTAAAAATTCAAAATAACTCAAACATGGTCTTGAAACCTTTAATATGTTGATTAAAATTTTCCTTCCCATGAATTGCTATCGTCTTTTTAACAGTCATTTCTGTCTGTAATTTTTCTATTATGGATTTCGTATGGCGAAGAATAAATAATACGTGTGAAGTATCCAAATACTTAGCATTTTCATTATACTCTGTGATAAAATTGTCAGAGCCATAAATGCTAAATGAATCTATATTTTTTATTATATCTTTGCACCATGGTCTATAGCCATAATAGTGATCTATTTGATGATTATAATTTGCATTACTCTTTCCTGTCTGTACATTATATTTCTCTTCATAATGTACATTCCTCTTGTAAATTTGATATTCTGATTTAGGTTCACCCACATAGATTTCTTTATTCGGTGTATGATTTGACTTTGTTGACACATATTTTTCTTCTCCATTTCTTACTGTTTTCCTGTTTGTATCACTAAAGTATGATATATACTTTCCTCTATCAATTTGTTTCTTTAGATCATAACGAACAGTTTCGTCGGACTGTCCCACTTGTCTTGATTCTATTTCAGAACAAACATCAGTTTTTAACACAGACTCTTCTTTTACTTTATCTGCTTTAATGCATGACGAATCTTCGACTTTTAATTTCTTACATATAACACTCGAAAATATCATATTTCGAAGACATTGACGAGAAATAATACTGTCAACATTATAACCACAAAATTGTAACGAACAAAGTAAGTACTTGTTACCAAACATAACTGTCGGATCTAATATAAAAATAATGGAACTAATGAATATAACAAATTAAATGAAAATTTGGTGGTCATATATGGAACAACTCATATCTTCGGCGACAATGTTAAAAACAACTTATGCAACTATATTATTATGTCTAGAGATGGCATGAACTGCTACTTGTGAATCACTCATGATTCGATCACGTTCGTTCCCAACAGTGATGCCAGGACGTGGGATTTTCTCCCACATGGGAGCCTTCGTGCGCATGCGCATGCTGACGTCACAGCTCGACGGCGGTTGTTTCCATGGATGTATCTATGTGCAACAGTAGGTACGCGTAAGGGGCCCTTCCCAGTTGTTTCCCGCGTTTTTCGTTAAAGTGAAGGTGAGTCGCGTAATGTTATATAATATATTGAATTGTAGTGCAATATTAGTGTATTACAGTGACAGAAACCAGAAGATGGATTACCAGCAGCCTAGTTCGAGTGGATTGGCGGATAAGAAGAGAAGTAACAAAGGGAAAGTATTCCAATTATCTTGGCTAAAGAATAATATTTTCAAAGACTGGTTAAAATCTGATAATAATAAAAAAGCTTTCTGCACGGCTTGCAATAAAGTCTTGGCATGCGGAAAATCAGAACTTATTAGACATTCGCGGACTCAATTACATATTAAAAATACAAGCAAAAGCTGTGATATCACACCATCTGTTTTATTACCAAAAGTTGATAGTAATTCTGATTTGGACCATGTTAATAAAGTCAAAACAGCCGAAATAAAGTTAGCTGCGTTTTACGCGGAGCACAATATAGCTTTTCAAACAATTAATCACATGGTCCCTTTATTAAAGGAAACCTGTTCAGATCCGCAGGTGGTTAAGGATCTAAAATTGTCACGAACTAAATGTACGCAGATAATAAAAAATGTAATAGGCAAACGCGAAAGCGCTAAGCTTATTACAGAATTAAAAATTCAGAAATTTTCAATATTAATTGATGAAAGCACGACTATATGTTTTATATATAATGTTCTTGTTTGAATACTAGTAAGGTTTTCTGCAGTTTTTCTTACTCTCGCAACAAATGTTTGTATTCATGTAATAAATCGGCTGCAGATGTACAAAATAATAAAAAAATATATATTCATTTATTTCCATGTAAATATGTTATTTCTTTTAAAAATATCCTCTTCCTGTAATTTCTACCGTATTTCAATTGTCACGGGGGTCTAACGATACCCCATATTTGAGTGAAGTATATACGTTACTGAGGATTAGGTAGTGCGCATGCGTGGGAAAAATCCCACGTCCTGGCATCACTGGTTCCCAATCATGGTGATTTTTCACAGTGATTCGTGATTTCTCGTAATCGTTTCTGATTGGTGGACAAATCTAACAGTTCTTTAATCGTGATACATAATCTGTATATTTTATATTAACGACATCAAAACAAAAATTTGAGTTATATCGTATAAAGTGAAGGAATAATTCGAAACAATGAAGAATAATGAATAAATTAATGATTATAAATTATAATCTACATGTTACCTAGCAAATCATTCTTTTAGAATTTCTTGTTTTTTCTACTGATTTTTACAAACACGAATAGTAATGTAATTCATCGTAAAATCATATTGAATACGTTTTTCTGTTTAAAGATCAAGGACTTACGATTGCAGTGAGCAAATTCACTCAAGATAAAAAAATCGCAATCACGGTCGTGAATGAAGTTAAATCACGACCGTGATCGTGATTCGGCGATCACTGTGATAAATCACCGTTAATGATTTTGCACGCCATCTGTAATTATGTCATAGTAAGTGATAGTAGCAAGATAAGAAGTTAATCAAAGCAGACTACTCAGTTATAAACATACGACCGTCGTATGTCGTATTACGACGGCGCTCGACGATATTTCTAACAATAAGTCTAACGCCATCTTTAACATTAGGCTGTACCATGTCCCATCTGCTTGCATACAACTTGGTAAACAGTTTTAAGTCAGTTACAGTGGAAGCTCGTTTATTGCAGGCTATTTTATTGTACCTTAGGAACACTGTTCGCTCACATGTATTTCTCACCCACGTGTGCACACCCGACTCTGTCGCCCAGCACATTATTTGTTGCCATCACTAACCCGTGCTTTTCTACACTTTTCTACATAAATAAGATAACTAAGCAAATTTAGCTATTAATCATTTTGTACAGTACAATTTTATTCACACTATTGATTACATTGTTTCCAATGAAGAAAAATATATGAAACTACTGTTCAATCATACGTGCATTATAAAAAATGGTCCAGTAACTTTGAGTGCTCAATATCTTCGAAAATCACCGACGAAACCATGGTCACAAATCCTTGTGTTCGTTCGCTGAAAAGTAAACGTATTAGAAAGAGGCTTTATGTTCAAATCCTGCCAGACCGATTATTTTTTTTTTTTCGAGTACAAGAAAATAATAACGATTAATATTGCTATTATAAACATGCTAATATTGTTATGTAAATTTAATTGAAATACATTATTTTTCCATTGTGAATACAACAGTTTAACAAAGACAGAAATTTTTGGCTTACTTTAAATTATTTCACACTTAATTAAATATTTTCAACAATGTAATATTTATAACAGTCACATCTTCGGTGACATATTCTATCAGTCATTTTACAATGCAGATTGTTAATAATTATAAAAAATAGAAATCGAGATATATCGAAGCTTGTAAGATCTGGATATTGTTAAAAAAAATTCAGATTTTGTCCTGTCGTCATAAATTACTTTAGAAAATCTAATTTTGTATTTCATTAAATATAAACGTTGTGATGGGAGCAATTTTAGATTCAGAGGGAGCAAATCGGGAGCAATTTTTTAAGATAAAAATTGTTAAGAAACATTAATATTCGGCGTCAACTATTTTTCGGTCTCGTCTGTGCTGTGGCACAGGTTCGTGCTTTGTCGGTAACGTCGGGTGTGATATCAAAATGGTAATGGGGCGCAAAATGTATTGGATGTTAAGAACTATCATTACACCTCGTATATGGTGCAACCCCTTGATCGACAATCGTTGCACAATAATCCCCTTCGCGATATTTAGCGAGATTTCACAACCGAGGCGTTTAGTAATATCCACATTTAAACCCGCAAGATATTTGTTCACTTTTCCTAATTGCGTTCTATTATGCAACGATAGTGTCAGCGTTACTCTTATATCGGAAACAAAACGATAAAATATCGTTCTCGGCGCCGTTCGACAAACCAGATTGATATCGATTCAAAGTTCACGTGTTGGGTCACGTGACTCTGACAGCTTTTTTTAGTAGGTACTATTACTGGTAATATATTGCTTAGCATATAATGATTTTGTTCAAATCAAATTACTGTTTTCAAAAGGATCAGTTATCTTCAAAACCTTTCTTTTTCGAATTAATAAATTTGTAAGGGAATTACAACGAAATAGAAACAATAATTACACTACAAGGTATTTCCGATTTAATATACGATATAAAAGGAATTGTATTCAAGATATTTAGTAAAGTACTGGGAGTAGCAGCCTTTTTGGAATTTTAATCGAAAGAAAAAATGTCCTATCCCTATTGGTAATTCGCATGGCTTAGTTAATATGTAATAAGTATGAATTTTAATTGTTTATTTGTGGATACACATCATACAATATCATTGATGGTAAAACTGTTCATTGAATTACTCAAACATTATTGTTTCTGACGAACTTTTTTCAAGAAACAATATACAACGAACTTACGTACATGTAGTAACAAAATCGTATCTATAGTCAAATGTAAAACCAAGCACCTTATCTAATACTTTTACAACAAATATTCTAAGTGATCAAGATATTAATGTTTATAAAAAGTAGTAGTGCTAAGAATGTCATAGAATACTACTTCTTTCAAATGGATCACCCATTAAACGAAACTACTTTATAAAATATATATATACAAGGTAACTATTTCAATGGTAATGGTTTAATTACCAAACACTTCTCGATTCTTCGAGTCATCCCGCACATGAAATCTAATTTTACATCATCGCCAGGCAAACGTCAGTTTAAACCAGAAACCGAAGTCGTCTAATCCAAACGCGATCGTCCACTTCCTTGTCACCTTCTCGCCCCATCATCTCCGTTCACCTGCCCGATTTTTAGTCACAGTTTTAGTCACCCAGATCCGTCACCAGCGCGGGGGAAAACGAGCACAGAGAGGAAATCGCGAGCATAGAGCGCAGACGGAAAAAAAAAATGCGGATTCGTCCTTTTACGTAACGTTGCAACCGAAAACCGTCCCCTTAGCGCCTACTAGTAACAGTGAAAGTTTCGACACGGATGAAATTCGAGATGCGCGGAAAATACAGCACAAGAGATATAGGCTTCTGGTTCGTCTCCACTGTGGGATGTCCTCCTTTAACGAGGTTCATTCTAGGTGGAGACTACGGGGAAACTGGACGTGGACCAGATCGAAAAATCGTTTCCGCAAGAAGACCGCGTGCCACTGTGGCTCATCCGCTTTCGATTTATCCGATACCATCGGGGCACCGTTCGCGTTAACCACGAATACGATACAGGTCGGAGCCGGCTACGAAACCGCCACCGAAACGTTTGACGTGAAATTATTGACTCCGTTCGAACGATATCAGACGTAACGGTTACCAGTTTCTATTAATTAGAAAATCGAGTTCGCAAGAGACCTGTACAAATATCGTGTTTTAGATCGACCGATTGTTCGGTTCTTTCATAATTGTTTTGCCGATCGCCTTTCAAATGTAGGAAGCGGCGACGAATTGCCGCCGCCGCTTTCGCGTCAATAACGATTGCGTTTCTTATCGATCGTTGATCTTCACATTTGACCTATTTTTTCTTTGCCAATCGCCACTAGCGGGCCCTTCGTATCTTGGCGTGATCTTGTAATAGAAAAAAAAAACAAGAAAAAACGGAAAAAAAATTGTAAGACGTTTCGCGACAAGAGCGGTGCGCGGCCAGCGTCGCTTTAGAAAGGCGTGTCGAGCCAACACGTGGCGGGCGGGCGCGATTGTGTGACACGAATACAAACGCAACCCGATTCGCCGGGATGCGGTACCGTAGAAAATCACTCGGGTGGTATAAAAGGGGGTGTGTTACGCGGTGTCTGCATCAGTTTCGATCGTGAACTATCCATCGCTACCACCATGAATACCTTCGTAAGTTGTTCAGCCTGACTGAAATCGTACATTTCCTTAATCGTGTTGATTGATTCAATTTCGACTTAATTGCGTTTAACATCAATTTCAGACAAAAAGCATTGTACACGTCTCCAGGCAATTTCAATTAAGGATTTCAATCTTACTAATTTTCAGATAAAATGCATACTTTTTGTTTTCAATTTTTATTATTTTAATATCGTTTTTAAGATTTTTAAGTTAGTTCTCTATTAGTTTTCTTTTCTGTGAAAAATTCATGACTGATATTCAGAGGTTTAAGATTTTCAATCAAATTAAATCGACTATATGATTTTGAATATTAATTTCTTCTTTTTGTAAGATTATTATACATATCTATTTTTTTCTAAAGAGTATTTGCAGGAAAAGAATCATACCCTTTGTTGTATACGGGAGATTTGAAAAATGTGTTCGCAATAAAAATCATAGGCAAAAGTTATATCTATATAATATTTTTTTCCGTGTAGATTGTTCTCGCTGTCGTCGCCTTGGCGTGCCCGATCTACGGTCAGGAGGAAAGGAACATCGAGAAAAGAGGCATCAGCCTAGGACATGGAGGTGGATTAGGTGGTCTGAGCTCTGGAGGTCTAGGTTACGGAGGAGGTAACATAATATCTTATTAATAAACTTTATACCATTAGACTAAGATTTAATTAATAACAGCACAACCCATTATAGAACATCATCCCTTACACTGCAACTATTAAACGAATCAACCGGTTTCGTTAAATGAATTGTTACTCTATGTCGTAATTATCCTCTCATTTATATACTGATACAGTAACTTCAAGTCTTAAAGTCAATTTCATAACACCAGAGAATTAGGAACTTCTTTTGCATTAGAATGTACGAACTAGGAACTGAAATATTACAAAACATGTGGTTGTCCTGTGGATATTAATAACCAGCTCTATATGACCAATTCATTTATTTCAATACATTTCTTCTATCGACATTGGCTACAAATAGTGACTGTCTATCCTAAACGAAACTGTTGATTACGCTGTGATAAAGAATTGTTATTACTGTTATTTTAATTTCAGGTATTAGCAGTGGACTTGGCGGTGGACTTGGCGGTGGTCTTGGCGGTGGTCTTGGAGGTGGACTTGGAGGTGGCCTGTCCAAATCCATCCTTATTAGTAGCGGAGGAGGTGGACTTTCTGGTGGATACGGTGGTGGACACAGTAGTGGACTTTCCGGTGGATATGGCGGAGGACTTTCCAGTGGTCTCTCTGGTGGATACTCCAGTGTAGGAATTTCTGGAGGTTATGGCGGAGGACTTTCTGGAGGACACAGCGGTGGACTTTCTGGAGGATACGGTGGTGGACTCGGTGGTGGACTCGGTGGTGGTCTTTCTAGCGGCTACGGTAGACGCGGATGGTGAAGAATCACAGTATTAATTGATGCAACTCTCAGCTTTACTATGTTTTATCATTTCCGCTGGCTATATGAGATTTTGTACTAATGTCTGATGTGTAAAATAAATTTTAATACTTTTTAATGGGTAGCATTATCTCACTCCCGATTTAATTCATTTAATATAATTAGGAAGTTTAATTATTAGTAATTTTTTGCGTTAAAGAGAACGAATTATGGTAGCCATTTTTGTTAGATTAATGTAGATATTTCTACAAATCTAACTTGTAGATTAAGGTTTGGATATAGGAGTTTAAAAGTAATTAATTTTCTTCGTTACAAATTCTAATAGTTAAAAAATCTAATACAAAGTTTATTGAACAATATTACAGTCATTGTTGTGTAGTGTTGTATTTTGTGCATTTACGCACAATACAAGTGCATTATATCAGCAGTTCATTCGTAATTAATTTGTAGCAAATCATAGTGGAAACGATAATGTTAAATTATGTTTTTTCTTGACAAATTGTTTAGAATTCAAATGTGAAGATAATATAGTAATCCACATGATCGATCTGTCTTCGAATGTATGTAATGCTACGACGTAGTTTATAATTTCGTCGCTAGATGAAGCACTGAAAATGCAGGTTTAAGTTTTTTAAGAGAAGTTAATTGTTGAATAATAGTTTAATTACAACAACCATGAACATTCTGGCCAGGAGTATAGTGAGCTCAGCTAGATTCTGCTTAGGAAATTCCATTGAAGGTATGATCTTTTTCGTATTTCAATTGTGTATTTTCTTTCGTAACCTCTAGTCTAACCTCTTCATTCATAGAGAAATAATATTTTTCTTTTCCTTAATCTCTTCTCAGTTCTGTCATTATGTTAAAAATTAAATACATCCAATACAGACTATATTCACCCATTTTCTGATTTCTTTATTTTGTTGTATTACAGGCAACAGATTACAATTATCCAGGCTATATGCAAACCTCGGTATTCAAGGTATTTATTTTCTTGAAATAAATTTGTGCATTGTGTATTATAGTGAATAGAATGATATAGAATAAAAGCTTTTCTTTCTTTCAGCAGGGAGCCTATTAAACACTGCAACGTCACACATTGGAAACTTATTTCAAGGTAACACTTAAGCTAGTATATATTAGTATTTATAAAAAATTATATCGGTTGAGAAATAAAGATACGTTGATTTCATTTTAATTTAGTGAAAACCTACATACTTCTATAGAATATCGAAAATCTGTTCAAATATACCTGTATTAAATTGCTGGATAGGAAGTATTAAATCTGAGTCATACTTGTACTCTATTACAATATAAGATTTTAATAATCTCCAATAGATTCAACATTCAAAACAAAGAATACTCTCTAAACAATATTGTCCATGTATCAACCTAACACCCAATCGGAGACTCTTATTAATAATTTTCATTCACAAAACTACATCTGAAATATAAATCGGAAACTACTAGTAAATATTATTTATAATCATATATTCGATTACTATATTATACTCATAGTACAATTTCCACTCGATTTTACCTTTTCTTACCATCTCTCTTAAGAAAATCGTCTTCTTCGCAGACAAACCGTATTATTAAATATCAACGATCAGGCGGTCCAATACATTAGCCAAAATTAAGCAAGAAAGAATCGGGGCTTCCTACAGGCTTAAGTAACCTCCACAACCCGGACTGACCCATTTACGTGAAATCGTGCGACATTTCGCCGTCGGCTTGTTTGCGTTTCCCATAAGTGCAACAAGGCCGGACAATGCCGGTGGACAGGGTTATTCGAGTGACATCTCAAGTTTCCGTAAGCCTTTTCGACAGATCCGTATCTCCGCGTGGGTAAAATGCGGCAAAAGGGGTGGTCGACCTAAAAAGGGACCACGGCTTTTACGGCATTCTTCATCGCGAAAATGCGCGTGGCTCGCAAAAGCGCACGCAGCCTCTACCTCTTTGATCCCCCGGGACAACCGAAAGAGATCTCGAAATGCAAAATGGGGATCCGGCCACTCCGCAAGAAAGGGCACGAATAGGGGGAATAGCGGGGTTTTCCGTGGCCGATGCCCGCAAAATCGCTGGGAATCGAAGGGGGTGACGTGTCCATTTGCGGTTGACCAGTTGTCAGAACCGATCCGTGATGGATACAGGCTGCGCTAAGACTGTTATTCCCGTTTCTCGCGACGTCACAAAGGCCCAAAAGTTTCTGCAGCAAGTTGACAACCGCTGCTGGTATATCGTTTCTTCGATTCCCTTCTGTTTCCATTGAATCGACTCGTTACTTCGGTAGAGGATCCAATGGGAAATATGAAAGAATATACAAACAGTACATAAACTTATTTCATGGAGGTACAATCTCATGAAATATATTTGTGCGTTCTTTGGTCGGATTCATCACGTACCGAGTTTATCCTTTCGTAAGATTTGTTTTTTATTAATCCTTACAATCCACTTATCTGGTTAAAAAGTGTAATGTGAATTTGGAGTCGTACAAAAATCTGTACTTTAACTACTTTTGTAGTGTCTCATGTCTTGAGAAATGTATTTATAGGTTTATCTTCGATTCTTAGGTCAGATTCGTGATAACCACTGATAGTTTCTACAGCTTCTTTCTCCAATAGAAATACTGATAGGATCATCTGCGCCTTTATTTTTTACCCTCACTTTCTTGATCTTTCTGTTGTTACAGGTGATTATTTCATTTTCACTTCCCTCCTGCAATTTCTCTCGGACCTGGTAATCGCTAATTACGCAAAATTTCAGACTGCGTCGAACAACAACGGAACGCAACCCGAGGAGATAAGCCAGACAGGGGCTTTACCAGCGTCGTGATCTCGGCTACGTGAACGCGACAAAGGCGTATTCCGCGACGTCGAAAATTTTTCGCAATGTAATCTTGCGCATTGATCTTCGGGAAAAGGGGTTGCCTTCCCGTGCATAATAGGTTCTGCTGGTCTCTTGCCTTAGTTAAGTCCGAGTTAGGTCGGATTAGCAGGCGGCGGGCTTTGGACATCTGTCGTATTGACGGACGATGGTCAGCCAGATCTCGAAATGAACAACAATGGTACAGTCTCGACTAACAGGCCCTGGTGGATTCGTGGCCTCGTGTAACCCGGGCCGGGAAGAATATCAACGAAATTGTCGTGTCATCCTCGACGTTTCACTTAAAATACGTCTCGACGGACGCAACCAGCTCCGTTTCAAAACCGTGGATGATCGATTCTTGGGTGTAAATTTCACCCTGGAATCGATGATATTCATTCGATTTTCATTAGAAAATCGTGACTATTCGCCGAGTAGTTTCTGCGAGGACCAAACGTATTCTGTTGGTGTTAGGAGACTTTGTAATCATGCGTATGGGAAAAAGGCAGCCTGATAGGGGATGATTCTAGAATTGAAAAAAAAAGGTATACACTTAGTCATTATTTTCATAGAAATACTTCCCATAGGTTTCTTCTGAACACAAATTGCAGTCACAGTGTTATAATTTGACTGTATTAATACGTAATGTCTAGAACTTCACTGTCATTAAAATTTTGTAAATAAACTAGATTTATCAATGGTTGCTCACTAGTGAAACTTTAATACATAATTCGTAAAAGAAATGGGAACAGGCGTTTAACGCAATGTACCCTGAATATAAGTGCTAACATTGACACACCTAATCTTCAGGAAAATGTTGCACACGCAATAATTTTGCAATGTTGCTAACATCGCTGTCCACTTTCAGCTCGACGCGGTCTCACGGATCCTGAACGTTTTGTGCAAGGGTGGGTGGACCTCGTAACAATGTTGCTTAATAAGCTTATACACGCTCGAACGAGAAAGGACTGCTTTCGCCGGACGGCTTGCAGATGTCAAGCGTCCGTCATATTTGATATTCCGCTGGCGGCAGAGACCCTCTTTTCTTAGGCCCCGTAAGATTATTTGCGAAAGAGTTTCCAGTTTCCCGGTACCGTTACCGCGCTGTGGGTCCCCTATTTTTCCCTTGGCCCCGTTCACAATGCCCTTGACTAGTACGCGATCATCCTTGGAAATTCTCTCTATTTCCCTATCTGGCCTTTCGACCAAGCCTTTGTCGCGTTTCTCGCGGAATCTTCGATGAGAAATTCCATCGTCGCTATCAGAGAGTGTTCCTTCTAGATTAGAGGATCGTTACAACCCTTTCATTCGACGAGATCTTGCAATTTTTATTTGTAATTGAAATTCAAAGAAGAACGTCCTTTCCATGGAGGATTTTTTTTCTGTATTAAAATTTCATATGGTTTAGCGATAATTAGTCGAGAAAAGACCTATCTAGAGGCGAGGTTTTGCAATGGAAAAATGCCCTTGTGGAATATGACTGCTATTATCCGCGGGTCGCTGGGTAACCGGAAAAATTTCGAGTGAAAACTCAATTGTTCCCATTCGCCTATTGCTTTCCCCATCGGAGTCTCGCGTATATTCGATGATCGTAATGTGTTTCGCGGAATGTTCTTCTCGATTGGTCGATCGAGTAAGGATAAAGATGACGATGCTGATGATGGTATTGTGAACGCGTTAGAAAAGCTGCAGACTTATTGCGTTCAGCGATGATAGGACTGTTATAAAAATATTTGAATTCTTTCGATGAATGTTCGCTCGTGTCAATGAGTATGCCATGTTTTTTCTGAAAAATGTTTTTCTTGTCATTTTTTTTTTTCGTTTCGTGGTAAATGTACTATAAGCATGATTCGTTGTGACAGGTTTCGAACAGCTAAGGTTTGGTTCCACGTTACAAGCAATGCATAACCGCGGTAAACCTTACAAGACGCCAAACAAAAAGAAGAATCCGTTAGAGGGGAAACCATTCGCGAAGGGAGTGGTCATAAAAACGGTCATCAGAAAACCGAAGAAACCGAATTCTGCGAATCGAAAGTGCGTTGTCGTCCGACTCTCAACTGGGAAAGAAATGACTGCTTACATACCCGGTACGTATATTAAAAAAGTAAATCCAATTGGAGAATATATTTACGTTAACATTAAAATAGATCCGTTAGATTAAATAGATTGCACACCATTTGTGTGTCTATTGTTTTTTGCAGGAGAGGGACACCATCTTCAAGAGCACAATATCGTATTGGTTAAATCGGCGAAGCTGGTAGATACTCCGGGTATTAAAATCAAATGCGTCCGCGGGAAATACGATTTACCTCATCCTATAAAGAAAAAGCAGTAGTTGCATTTCGTCGTTTTTAACGAAATAAACGAATGGGTACTCTATCTATTGCAATATCTTATGTTAATCTGTTAAAACGTCATTTAATTCATAGAATATGTTATAGAAAATTATGTGTAGCTCCTTCAAATTTCAAAATATCTCCTTTATTTTTGTTTCTCCTGTCTGGTGCTTATAGTAATCCCGGGAAAAGTGAACAATCTCTAATCATCATATGTCCTCAAATCAATCCTTAAGATAAAAAATACGGATGTTTATTTTCACATTTGTTACATTATGTTCGATATGGTCTTCTTTCTTTTTCAATACAAAACTTACATCTGTGGATCATAGATCGCCGTACATTTTCAAATATTCCTCACTTATCTCGCATCGCCTGTTGTCATGCAACCTTGAATTAATCTAAACCACTTTTGCTGTCTACATTCAATATGTTGCAAAGAGACATCGAACGCTCGAAAATATAAAAGTTGATTTCACACCGAAAATATTAGTTCTAGGACCTAGGTCGAATAGTCATTTTTTTACTCCTCTCACTGAGTACTATAAGCCCCTAAAGTCTTAGACCCTTTTTTTTAACATCCTGTAGATTTAGGATATATTGAGGTACACACTGTTGTTTACTCTTGAAACAACTTCGAGTATATATATCAAAATTATAACAAAACAATACAGCAACAGCAACTATTATCTCGTACCATAGAAAAGTGCCTTTAATCCAATGTCAAAATTTTATTTGTTTAAAGGATTCCTTTCCTGATGTACTATAAGTCCTGTCACTTATCGATCTTCACGGAGTTAAGATTATTCGAAAATTCCACGATACAGTCTTTCTATTCGATCGACAACCGGGGAAAGGGTGTGCGGGGTCACGCTCCTCCGATTTAAGCGTCCCCGCAAATTGCGGCCTTTTGACACACATTTCGGGATGAGGTGGCGGCCCTTACCCACCGACGCACGTTTACCGTTAGCTGGACCGTGCGTCGTGACGAGGAGACGTATATACACATTGTGTCCCCGGTGGATCGGGATGTCACAATGCAGAAAGGGTACTACCCGACGGCACAGCCCCCTTCTTTGGACATTATTACGGAAGGGTTGGCCACGGCCTTCCTGCATCTGCACCCTGCATCCACCCACACGGCCACTGGCTATTGACCATATGACATGCTGACCAACATCCCGATGTTTTCAAAAGACTGGCTCTCAACCTGGTTCGCCTCGATTCTTTGTACCCCCGATAGTTTCTATTTTAGACGGTACGCGCGAAGTAGTGGGCGTATCCTGATCAACAACGTTCATTTTCCATCGACACGTTGCAAACGTATATGTACTGTTAAAAAGACATTCGGTCGGGTTGTTTTTAGAGCATTGGAATAGTTCTAGGAAAATTGTGCCCAATTATGAAATTTAATAGAGTACGTTCTATTGACACTTTGACAGTCAGATTAATACGCATAGGAAATTATTAACATAGAGATCAAATTGGTGTGAAAGAAACGTAGACTTGTAAACCAAGATTTTCTTCCATTGTATTTATTGTCTTAACATTCTAACCTCATTTCGTATAATTGCCTTAGTGCAAATATGAATTTTTGGCACAGGACGAAAAAATGGTATTTGTGTTATATGTATGAGTTACAAGGCAGTCGAAATATTACGAACAAATACTAAGGCGAATGTTCCTCATCGAATTTTATAACGGGGAAGCAACACGGAAACAAACGAAATGAGAACCTACTAAGAATCGAATCCCCCACAGGGGATGACGATTCCGCGTGATCGTTATCGGGCTCGTGCTAGCTGGATTCCAAGTCCATCGACTATTTCGCGTCACACCGGGCAAGCACAACATCCAATCGCCCAATACAAAGGTTAAAATAGCATTATTCCCAAATCTCCGAAGAGGCTCGTAACACGACAGCCATCGATTGTAAAAGAACCGACAAAAAAGTGTAGATATAAATTGCTTTAATCCGTATACAACGTTGGGGGGTGGTGGGAGCGGGCGAAAAGTGAATTTTTCATGTACCCGTCCCGAGAATGGTCGTTAACTAATTTAAACCGTTTTCGAAGTCAGAGGCGAAGTTAATCCGTTACGCTATAATCGAGTTTTCCTTAATCCAACCGACCCCCTCCCCCGTCTGCCAGTTCCACCCGTTGTAAACGGGGCCCAGCCGGAGTAGAATTCGCGTGTAATAAAAATCGAAACGACGGTATTTTTCGTCGCTCTGGCTCAGCCCGGCCGAAAAAGTCCTCGGCAAAAGCCTCCGGCCCGGCTGCTTTTATTGCGTTAGGAGGACGCGTATGTACCTGACTCGAGTGCACGAGGAAGCGAGCATTACCATTTACGACCTTTCTCGTCCTTTATTCGACACCATGGATCCAGGGGCCCCCGATGGCCTCGTCAACGAAACCGGTTGCTTTATTACGGTTTTCCGCAATAATCACGGTTTCTTTGTCGATTGCATTTCGCCCTGATAGTTTTGCCTGTTCGCCGCGTTGCTCGAATTTTCGTTCCCATTTAATTAGAGGTGCCCCCTTGTTGGCCTTCACCCCTCCTCAAGGGGGTGTAAAAAAATGTCAAGCGCAGACCTTCCATGGACGAAGAAATTGGGGAAAAACGGTACAGACGAAGAGTTTTTAGTATTCTCAGAGGGGGACACAATATTTCCTTTTTCGAATGGAAAAGGTTAATCCGGCGAAAGAGAATGGCGTCGGGGTACAGTTAAAGGACGACAACAAAATGGAACAACGGTACCAAAACGCAGAAACCTTCCGAGCAAACTGTGTGCCACTCTTTCCGAGGACCTCTCAAACAAATAGCATGCAAACGTTTTCGACCTAGTCTCTAGAGATTCTCAACTCTTTACCGTACGGCTTAGTAATCGGACACTGAACGATCTCTGCTCTCGAATGTTTTGTCCTCGGTTCGGTGCTTTCCTAGTTTCAGCTTGCACGGTTTTACCCGGTTTTTGGGCAGTGGGCACACGTTGTGACCTGGGTTTGTATATAATCCTGCGTGAACCCTTTACCAAAGTCTCCATAAAACAAGTCTACTTTTTAACACACAACAACAACTACAAGATTTGTTACCCGATGAAAAGTAATAATTTCCTTAATTACACCAAAGTGACCAAGGAAGTTCCTAATATGATTTTTCTTCTATTAACTACTGAATACAGATCCCACAATTCATTAACACCCTGTACGTACACAATGCATGCTGTCACAACAGACGAAGTGACCGCCCAGCAAACAATTTTTTCCAGAGTTTTCCGAGGATCCCCGATGATCTTTGTGGGAAAATAAGATGTATCGGTAAGTTGTTTATACAGAAAGGTATTCAAGGGAGAGGCAACGCCTCAATACCACAGCCGATGAAAGGAGAGCACTCGGTCAAGGAATAAAAATTCATTCTTGAAGATCGGACCGAGGGCGTGTCGTACGGAAACTCTGAACGAAAAGAGAGGAAAGCTCCCGACGAGAGAAAGGGTTTCCCGCGGGAGAGAAGAAGGCGTGCGCGGGGACCGGAAGTAAGCAAATCTCGAAAGTCTGTTGGCAAAACTTGGCCGGTGGTCCCGACCGCAAGATAAATCGAAAAGTAATTGCTACCGAGACGACGCTCGCCTCGAACGTCTTAATGTCTCTTTCTACCATTATACTTCGACTCTCTTTTTTTTTGTAAACGTTCTTGGACAGCTACGGTGTCGGATTCTATTAAAAGGCCTAATGTCCGTCCGGGGACGAGCTGACGGTAGGACCTCCCGCCAGGACTTCTTCCTATTCTGCATGGAATTGATAAATAATTAATTTAAACTGTTGCATAGGATGTTTATTTTCATCTCACATTACTTTTATTAACTTCGGTGATATTAGGTGTACGTAAAGGTAATCAATTATTTCTTCTTCATAAACTGGTATCGGAGGTTAAATTTAAAATACCTTTCTACCCTTTCCTTCTATCAGAATTACTACGAACATTGTAGGACGAGAACAAATATCATTGAGACAGAATTTAAATATCAATTTGACTAAATATAGTGCATTACTTACTGTTCATATTTAAACAATTTTCGCGCCATTAGTTAGAAATGTTCATTTATTTAATATTGTCCACACACCGGTGAAATCCGTGTCTTTTCTTTTTAAATTCATTAATGACAACTTTCCAATTTTTGAAGTTGAAATTTATACGTAAAGGTACAAGGTACAGATATTTAAAAATCTAATTTTCACGTGCCGAATATTTATTAATATTAATACAATTTAAAATTCGGCTTTGACAGTTACAAAATCTCTTAAATATTTATTCCTTGGTGCGTGTATCCTATTGTCGAAACGACCAGACGTTTAAAAAGTGAACCTATATAATTTTATTCATTCATCGAAGCCTAAAAATTATACGATTATGTTGTTATGGCATTCTACATTTTCCTTTATTCCGTAGATAGCCGGTTTAAAGAGACTACTGTTTGAATTAAGTAAAAGTTCCACGCAACAGCTATACACTGTCGAATTTCAGTGCGCACTGGATCGTCGATCGTGCATTGTCACGTCTCACAGCAATCTCGATCGCTGTATGCACGGAACTTAATTAAATAGCACGGGGTCCACATAACCCGTAATGAGTTTGCAGCATGTATACCGTCTCTGGCCCTTTGTGCCGTCGTTGTCTTCGCGGCTACGTAAAGGCAAGTTCGTAAGCGATTGTCGCTGTTAACGAACGGTTGACACGAAACTGGCGGAGAGGTTTTATTGCACGTTAGAGGGAATTTCTACTTTCTACCTGCCGCCGTCACTGGGCCATACTGACCGTTGAATACGAAAACCATTCGGCCCTTTCAACGAACGCCACACAATGTCCATTGATGCGTTATGATCATCCCTACCCTTCAACATTTCGCGATTACCGTAATCGAACATGCTTCTCTCCTTTTTTTGTCATCATTTTCGTGGAAATCCTATCACCACCCGGTATAGATCCCTGCTTATACCCAGAATATTAATCTTTTTAAACGAACTTAGCTGTTAAAACTGTTTCTTTTTTAACGCGATTAGGTACGTAAACAGCATAATAACGTCGGCTATTGTGAACGGATGGAACAATAACAACTTACCGAGGCCTCCCAACAATACGCGCGTTTCGTCCTTCCTCTTTACCTCGGTAGGGCCCTAAAGCAATTTAATTTCTACGGAACTGAAAGCACGCTAATTATCGATTATGACTTGTCGGTTCCGACCGCTCTAGAAATCAACCGGGCTACCATACTCCGTTACGAATTCACTGTTTGTGTAAGCGTTTCGCAAAGGGTCGCAAGGTCGAGATTATTTAACGTCGAAGCGAGTTATTCGACAGACAATCGCAGCGATCGCAAATGAAAACATTGAACCACCTTCCAGGAAACATTATCGTTATCGAATACGCTCGAATCGAGAAGAATTCATGAACGACCAACGAGATTTGGTCTTGCGTTATGTTGCCTCGAATTATCGGCGACTTTCTATTTGTCATTTACGTTATCTAACGTTGCGCTCAAACAATCGGACTAAAGTCACCGATAATTCAACGATTGCGTCGATTAGCTAGCTAGCGATCTGTGAGTGTCGATCGGGGCTCTCGTACCCCACGAATTCAGAGAAATCTCGTGGACCTCTCGAAACAATTGATAGCATCGATTCTTGATGACCAAGAGAGTTATTAAGGGTTGTATACACTGCGTGGCATAACTATAAAACCACCCTAAAATTTTCAATTTTTATATATTGTGGTTAAAATAAGAACGAACCACTTCTTTTTTCCATTTCATATTCGATCGTATGTTTGGTTCGTTTTTATTTTAACTACAATACATAAGAATTGAAAATTTCAGGGTGGTTTTATAGTTATGCCACGCAGTGTAGTAGATTGTATAGTAAACAACGAATAAACTGTATGGATGTGAATAGAAAACGTAATGGTAGACATGTTAGACGGTCCATTCTGTAAAAGAATAATGAAAAAATTCATTTGTTAGGTTTACCATAGTTTTCTTATAAAAAATACAGCACGAGAATCATGAAAGTGTTTATAAATTGTTTACAATTCATCGAATAGACTGAATTAGTATAACTCGGAAACGGGGCTAAAGCAGGTCAACTTTTTATATGTGTCCCCTTTTTTCACTAGTATTAAATTTTATGAAACGTTCCGTATACCCGTTCCTACCCATTCTCCCCTTGGAATGCTCTAGGTAATTAGCGGATTTTATTACCCGGTAAACGATACAATTAATATTCTGTTATTACACCGTAGAGCATTCCATCTTTCTGTAAAGCGAAAAGACAAAGGCAGGGTTTTCGTCGAAAATCTTTACAAATCGTATTTTCTTGTTATAACGATTTAACATTTACCGTAACAAGATATAATTATTTAATTCTATAAATACTATCATCAATCTACCCCTGGCGATATGGTAAATTCGGGAATCCGCATAACGAAACGACGATCGCTATTATACGAAACGTATAGGGAGGAACATGTGCCCCCGCGAAATGACCCAAAAATCTGTGTACCATTTTCCATTTCACTGTCCCCAGGGGGAAACCGATCGGGCCGCAACGGGGCAATTTCGAGCGATTCCATTGGTGCGTGAATGGAGACGTTTCCACGGCAAATCATCGCGGGAGGATTTTGCATCGACGTACCGTTACATCGGTTTGTGTGTGTGTGTCCGTTCTGCGGTGGCCCACGGAGCAGATGCAAATGGCGCATTCATCTGTCGTCGGGCCCCGACGGGGCCACGGGAAAAATCGCAAATAACGGGTTGCGGTCGTTCGTCGTGCACCATAGAAATGTGGGTTATGTGGCCGAAAGAGCAAAAATTTGTATACACGGAGAAAAGGAGGCGGTGCGGGTGAATTGAGACGCCCGAGGGGGTTGCATTTCTATGGACGACACGACGTTTTAACGGGGCCCGAAGCGAAAGACTAAATTTGGCGTGATCTTGGGACGACGACATAATGAGACGTCTTTACTGTATCGTGGCCATAACTGTACCTTCGCTTTTCCCATCACCGTGTCTTCTCCCTTTTCTCCATACTTTTCTCACACTCGGGGCTTTCCTCGAAACTCCCGCGAAGAACCACTGATCGACTACCGAAATATACTATGCACGGTAATTAATACTGTTGATGTGCCAAAAATATAATAACCCCTCAGAAACCACGGGATTTCGAATTTTTGATGATTGAGAATTTGAAGAGAACAGAAGCCTAATTAGAATTCATAACACATATTGTTTAGGATGATATTTCCTCAGAAATTCAATGGTAATAACAGCACAAGTAAGAAATAAATTTAAACTATAAAAATTTGTCATAAAGGAATGGTAAATTTCAAAACAGACGAGACACTGTTTCGCTGATGCAAATTGCACTGAACTGGCGTCTGAGGGTAAAACCTTAGACAAGAGTCGAATTTTCGCTTCTTAACTACGGATTATCAGCTACACGTAAGCTTCCTGTAAATGGACGATCAAACGAGACTAAAGTAAATCTAGTTAAAGTTTCAGAACGGAGTCCGCAAAGGCCACCCGTTCTCGAGAACGGAAGCCAGGGAGAAGACAATGGCGAACCGACGAAAGACCGACCGGCCCGAGAATCGTCGGAACGATTAACGGACGGACTTGCATAGTCGCCGATGAAACTGAACCATTAGTCAGCACTGTTCGAAAAAAGAAAGAGAGGCCCCATCTTCCCGGGCGCGTACGGATGAAAATCGTCCCCATATGTTGTCCATACTTAACGAGCGAGGACCGACTGGGAAAGATCCATCAACGGCAACGAGCCTCAAGGTGTAAGCTTGAAACTACTCCGAGAACCATATCCCTCCACCCTGATGGACATCCGAAGATTTCGCAAATTTTACTCGGCCGCAACGCTTTCGCCGGTTAATTTATGGGCACTTTACGCAAATTCCGCGATTCCCCGCATCCCTTTCGTCGGTTGTAAATCACGTGACACGGGCCAGAAACAATGGGGCCTTTGGCGAAATGCTACGGGAACTAGAGAAGGAAAGGCCCGAGAACGAAAGGGTTACGCGGAGATACAGTGTACACTCAGGTCGTACCGGACGGGTTAAGGCGTCCGAAACGGGGAAAAGACACCCCGCCGTTGCGGATACCGGGCTACCAAACGTCGTTGGAAAACTTTTCGTCGACCGTACGGCAAATAAGCGAACACGCCCGGTAGGATTTCGTAGGACGAACCGATGGGGGGGAGAGGATTTAGTGTGTCACAACCGGTAACTGGATTTTTGGAAATCCTGAGCCCACGAAGACCACACCGACGGACGACTTAATTTAGCGGGATTCGATTGTTCGGGGGTCAAGAAGCTGCTGCAATCGATGTCTTTCGCCATTGACGTCAACAGACGAGACTACGACCGCGACAGGTACACGTTCAGTTTCACGACTACCGGGAACTATAAATCTAGACGCAACGTTCGTGTTTCACGAGCGAGATGGACTATGGCATTGGCCTCTTAACAGCACGCCCACTGTGTCTCGTACTATAGCCGAGTCTATTGTTTTTAAAAAGATTCGATTTCTCGGTGCATGAAATTACGACGTTGTTCTTGGTAGATGGGATCTAGGCCGATTAGGCCGAGAAACCGATCTTTTTGAGGTTCGTCGTTGAAAGGGTGGATTAAAAATAGTTTGAGCTGCTGCTAATTGTATCTGTATACCCTTTGAATACTTTTTGAGTGTTTTTTTTAGTAATTTTCGGAAGGTTTTTAATGTAATATTTTGGAGTGTTGTGTCTAGCTTCAGATAATTCCCTGCTGGCAAGCTATATGTTTTTAATTACTTTCATTCTGTGATTGGATATTAAATAATATCCAGCGTTAGATACTGGATAATAAGTGAGCTCTAGAAAACAATTTTCTACACGCAAATCTAATACAACATAGCACGTTGTAAGATTGAACGTACATATTTATTCCACTATTCTAATTAATATACAGAAAACTAATTTTGTTTGTTAAACAGTGATAATAAACAAATTTCGAACGTCCTTCCTAAGACATTCAATGTTCTATAATAAAGTCTAACTCTTCATAGTAAAACCGTCCTACAATATCGTCGCTAATAACCAAATCTAAGCAGTTGATGCGACGTTAAAATTCTTAAATAAAAAAAATATTACCACTTAAATTGTTTCAACATTTGAATTTCAAGTTCTTAATATCAACAGAAAATTATTTTTGTTAAACTTCCACCAATAACTATATCGCCGATACTAATTTTGGAAACTATTCCAAAATTGATTGAATAATAAGAATGATAGAGTTATGTAAACGTATTAATAACACACAATGAACGAATTATTGAACGCCTCGGACGAAAATATATTAAAAAAAAAAACAGAAGTTATTGTCGACTCTACCCGGTATCACCGATGGAATCATTCGATTGTAAATACGAGCGAGTACACGTCCTTAAACGCGCAATCGTGTCGACGTAATTACGTGAACGCGTCGTACTGCAAACATTTTGAAAATATAGGAAGTGGCGAACGCGTGCCAGTCCCACCCCGGCGCTATGGTCATCCGTAAGTCCGCTCCCCACCATTTTCTAAGGAGACCTCCTACCCCCCGGGTCTTGTAAGGGTTGGCCGGTATATAAGCGAAACTACACCCCCTCTCGTTCTAAACGATTTTGGCGATTCGCTGTGTGAGCACGATTTTACCCGAAAAATTGTGACGAGCCCGCTCTCGGTCATTCGAAGTGTTTTTCTCCGTACGTCTACGACTTGGCAGATTCTCGAGAATTTCGGGAAACGCGTACGATCCGAAATCCACGATTACAGTGTTGTGATACTAGTGACCGGTGCTCTGACCTTGGATTAATAATTAGGTAAGAGAGAATTCTTGTGTACGATATAGCAGTCGCTCGGTGTACGTAGACGAATACGAAACTTGCGTAATCAGTGTACCCTGTTCGTCCGTTGATACTTGAACGTTAAAGGCGGTTTCGATCGCAGGATATTTCTGCTTTTTCCCCCGTTTAATTGTCGGACGAAGAAACCCCGTTGTTGCTCAAGTCTCGTTTTCGTTTTCATTAGTGTAATGGGCAATTTTCTAAAGTGTATCGATACAGTTATCACTCGTTGCGCTCGCATTTTCGTTAGCTTTCTACGATTTCGATAGAGCCTTATCGATAATCTAGACGCAATAACGTCTATTTAGCTGCTATTACTTTCTTTTATCGCGATCGCCTTCCGGCGAACGGTGTCCAATTAATATCGATAGTGTATTCGTAGAAATCGAAAGTTGCGTGGAAATCAGTGCAAATCGGAGACAAGCTGTCGATTCACGCGGACAGCTTTTAAGTGCATGGATTTTTTTTTTTAATTACCCGACACTGTTTTTCTGCTCTAGGTGGTGGACTGTTAGAAAATGGAGGCGTACACCGGGCCGTTGGTGGGGAACCTGCAGGCGTTGGACTTCACCGCAGAATCCATCGAGTCGCCGATTCTCGATCTTTCGTGCAAGAAGCAAACCCCGATGACGTCAGACGGATCGATCTCGTCCGGTTCGCGATCGAATTCGCCCGCCAGCACCGAGAAACAACAACAAATCGGCCATTATTCCGATTCCGAACGAAAGAGTCCTTTCGAAGGGCGGACGTTCATGGTGACACCGCCGTCGGAGTCCGACTCGCCGAAGAAAACTAAATACGAGCCGATTTACAATTGCTCGAACGTGACGACCAGCAACAATATGATCGGTCAACCTGCTGGATTCCCGGTTCTACCGATGAATCTTCCAATTCCAGTCGTTCCTACGGTTTTACCAACGTTGTTCACGCAAAACAACGGATCGGTTCAACCGATTCAAATGGTCGGCACTTCCGCTTCGTCGACCACCACCACCACGACTCCTCCTGTCAAAGACGTGGCGTTATCCGCCGCGAATTCGGAATCTGGCAAAAAGGCTCCGAGGCCTTTCAAAGCGTACCCAAAAGATCCGTTGTCGTTGACCATGGGGGCGACTGAGATGATGTACGATCCAAACTCGAACGAGGCGTACTCTGAGTTCCGGAAACGGATGCTGGACTCTGTCAGACGATCGAACGAGGGAACGAACATTAAAATGCGAAGAGTTACCAAGAGCCCTGGCTTACCGACTAGTACCGTTGATGAGAAAGATGCGGCCTACTGGGAGAGGAGAAGGAAGAACAACGAAGCCGCGAAACGATCCAGGGATGCCAGGAGGGCGAAGGAAGACGAAATCGCTATCAGGGCAGCGTTCTTGGAACAGGAGAACATGAAATTGAAGTACGAATTGGTAGCGCTCAGGAACGAAACGGCGAAACTCAGATGTATGGTTTATTCCAGTTAAGTTTTAGAGTAGCTTGTATAAAGTTGTTGATGTTCTTCGAGTGCTCGTGAAGAATTAAATTAATTTTGTCGAGCACTGGTTCAGGGAGGTCGTATTTGTCGCTGATGAAAGTAGCTGAATATGCGATTTTGTATAAATTTTATACTGTATTTTGTTAAGTAACTTAGCAATGGGTACATCTGCCATTGTTCTGCCATTCTTTTTGTTTTTTTTTTATTTGGTAGGTTTCAGGTATGCGACAGAAGTATTTTGCCATGTTGTTTTACTAGTTTTTCTTTTTGAGTTTAAGATTTTCAGATCTAGATCATTGTAATATATTATGTACAAAGTGTTTGGATGAGATAGTATAAGGGGAAATTGTTTTCCATGGATGTATGAATTCTTGTGCCATTCAGTAATGTTACAGTCATTCACAAGTTGCCTAGTACCACCGAGTTGTTCATAAGGTAACGAAGATTGTGCCAGATAGGCTATCTGATATTAACTTTACCAAAGTATAAAGACTTAAGAGTTTCTCTGTGCCACTGTTACGCGTACTTTAAGCTGAAAGTATTCTACATATTATGGGCAAATCAAAACAAACCGAATTTATGTAATGAATTATGTGTATAGTGAATGAAATGATCAAGGAGAAACATGTAAATAACTGAAGGTAGAGTAGGAATTATGTGAGATGCAAAAATTTTTTAAGCTACATTGTACATACAAATATTGTTGCGATATTTAAAATATATTTATAATAAAACAAATGCTTTAAAAGAATGTGATTTATTATAAAATATTTTTCTTCTACTATACAAAGTTTATCATGTTAGTAAGCAGTATCATTTGGGTAATGATTCTGCAAGGTCCATCATACATTCTGTCTCAAGGACATTCTTTTCATTACTTTGATTCTTAGTAAGTGCCTTTGTATATGATTTTTGTACTTGTCGGGGAACAAAATGTAGAGAAGACGGATTATTCGTAGGTTTTGAGGAAGTTGATGGACTGTCATTAATGATAGAATTTACGGGCACTGTGCTTTTCATTGCAGGCATAAACATTTTAGTTTTTTGATTTTTATTTAACTGAGGTTTCTTATTCTTTGGCTGTTTCTTTTCATGCTCAGGCTGATCGATTTCCATTTTATCTTTTTGTTCTTTTTTCACAGAATGAGAAGCATTATCGAAACGAAAATTTTTAGGGAACATGTGTATATTTATACAATGATCCTTTCTCTCAACTGGATCATTAAATTTTAAGTCACATTCAGAAACATAACATTGATACTATAAAGAAAATATAAATATTAACAAGTGGTTTAACACACGTAACATAATAAGAATTAAATAATTACCATTGGTTGTTTTGTAGATAATACTTGAAAGAAACTGTCATGAGTTTCTTGAATATGAATGTCTAATAATCTAGAATTGTGCAATGATTTCTTACACTCTGAACAAACGTAACGATGATTACTATTATAGTGCATTTCAAAATCAACCAATGTTTTAAATGTGGTTATACAACCAGTAGCATAACAAGGAAATTCTTTTATACTGAAACGAAGAGTAGTAAGTCATTATTATTGAAACAATACTAAAGTTGTATTGTTGTGAGGTTATGCAATCATTGTAAATAAATATAAAATAGAAAAAAAATTTATTTACGGTTCGTGACACAATTCTTCATCGATATCAACGGTGACGCCCTTGCGTTGAAAAATTTTGCAAGCCCGGTATGAATCTTCAAAAAATGGATCATCTATGGGTCTTAATCCTACACCTATATTTTGTAAAAACACTTCCATCTTTTCAATAATACTGCCTCAAGTAACAGTTTATAAAAATATACGATTTGTAGTATTAATACATTCAGTACTATATTTTACATTTATTTATTAAAATAATAAAATTCAAGCACTCTGACATACTATCATACACACTCACTTCGCGACAGTGGCGCGCTCTGCTCGCTTAGTGTCGTATTCAAATATCGAGTTATCGATATGGTTGCAGTAACCAATATTATTTCGATAATCGAAATTTCAAGAACGTTCTGGATCAGTAAAAGTTTAGTGCGCGTTACGGAAGGAGGACCGTATAAAGTCGTGTTAAATAAATTTAAAAAGTGATGAAAAAGTGTTAATTACGCGATAAGTTAAGTGTCATTAGCTTCCTTGACATGTCTGGGTACGAATTGCAACACAGGGCACAAAGACGTTTCAAATTAATGAAGGACAGCAATTGGTAAGTGAAACATACTTTTTTCCTCTAACGGTTTTCCATGTTAAATTTCAATGTTGTCTATTTTATGTCATTAACTTATATTACTTCGAATGTGCGATCATACAGAAATATTGTCATTAAGAAATTGTTAGTTCAGATAGTTGAATGAAATAGGATATGTAGTTTTATATTTACAAAATGATAGTAATTTATTCGACAAGTAAGCGAGTCTTCAAATTTTCTAGAATTTCAGCCATCTTATTCTCCAGTTCGTTACGTCGATGCATTTCTTCTCGCTTGTCCTGTAACATATTTTTAAGTATTATAAAGTATAATTGAAATTAGTACGTATCAATATAAATACAGTGTTCTTTTTAGGGAATAATACAATTTTCTGCATTAATAAAATTAATATTTGTTTCTCTTTTATGATAGTTTCGTACAGTAAATTTATTCAAAATTTACAACGTCTTTTATTAAAGTATTACAATAGTTACTTTGTAAATGCATTCATTTTTAAATAATATAAATTATATCCTTATATAATGCTGACTTATATTAGCATGACGGTTTAGTGGACATTCAAGGACATTCAATGTTATCGTAAAAATACGAAAATTATTGATTTGTTATTTAACGTAGATTAATTGTTACTTAAAACTTGCAATAATAACATACGTACCCATTTACGGTGGGACACTCAGTAAACAATCCAAAAGTATTAATTATTATAATACATGAACAAAATCAACGTAACCCATTGGTCCATTCGCTTCAACCTCTTTTCGTTCCGAAATATCCAAACTGGGTGCTCCATCCGTGTAACTTTCGGCTTTGACTTTCTCGCTTCTGTTTTCCGGTTCACTGGCAAATTTCGTGAAACTTTCGTCATAGCGATAAACGTCGTATTGCGGCACAGCTACGCCTATCATTGCTCCATTGTCTATTCTTTGATTGAAATCGTAATCCATCCCAGGAAAATGAAAGAAACCTGGTGCAGGTCCATCGAACGCAATCGGCGGTACAAACTTTGATGCCTCGACTTGAAACTCTCGCGTATTATGATTTTTATCATTAAACGTCTGAGCATTTTTTACAGGAGATCTCTCGGTGTAGTAAATGCCAGCAACAGGCTCAGTTTTTTCAGTACTGCGCTTCAAAGACTCAAACCTTTTCGAAGACGAGTTTGGTGTCGGCCTTTGGGTGGAATGCACTATTTCAATTTTTTGTCGGTTCCCGTTTCCGTAGTTGTCGTTTGAAGTATATTTATACCGTTCCCAAAAGTCCGGTACATCATTTCCCTGATGAAGATGCTGATGTGGTTTTTCAACCATATCTTTAGAATACGTTCTATTCTGTTGGTTTACCGACTCGGTAGGTTGTCTTGGAGACACTGTTTGACTTTCAGAGCCTTCTTTGAACTTCTCATAGAAACTATTCTGTGGGTCATCTCCACTTCTCTGTCTTGAACTACGAGTAGTTGTATGTCTTTCACCTTTCTGATCTGTTATTTCATCACGAGATTCAACTTTACGATTAACATCCGAAGACTTGATATACGTTTGTCCTGATATTTCGGGAGGAACGTCTGTATCAATAGTACTATCCAGAAGAAAGTCGAACGGTGGTGGCCACATTTTTATTTCCTTTTGCTCACCTTCATGAAGCCTTTTGGGCAGTTCTCGGTTCAAGACATTTGCTTTAGGCTGTAGATTCTCTTTCTTTGGTCTTCTTGCGTCTTTGCTCGAAACCTTTTTAGTACTTTCTCGATTTGTCCCGTTATTAGTTCTGTTCCGTTTTTCGACGGTGGGAACTCCAGATTTCGCCTCTTCCGTTTCCTCAGGGGCGGATAAGTACCGAGCTGGTACAATCAGAGGCATGAACTTGCTGAAATCTACTTCCTCTTCCGACTTAGGGTCATCCAGCGCCGATTGATTTTCGTCATCGGATGGAAATTTGTTGGATAACTTGTCAGACTTGGTAGATGTGTCTTGCTCAGAACTTTTTAGATCATCCTTCCTCTTTGTATCTGTGTCTTCCTCTAAACTATATTCTTCGTATTTGTTCGTAGCAGGTAGGTTGTACTCATCCCTTCCTTTCTCATTACTCGCGTCTTCGTCTTCGTCAGAACTCGACGAATCTTCTACCTTCGGGTTCTCCTTCGAATCAGGACGCTCGAACGAACTGTAAACGTGCCTGAATTTGCTGAAGAAATTCGCAAACCTGTCCTCTAATTCGCTGCTATTGAGAGGCTCTCCGTAACTATTCTTGAGCTGTTCTGGCCATTGGTGTTCATCGTCGCCGCTGAGAGGCAACGGTTCATTCTGTCCAACATTAGTGTAATTATCACTCACTGAAAAGTCCTCCTCTTGCTTAAACGGCTTATAGTCTTTCTCATAATCTCGATACCTTTCATCTTCGCTTTCCTCCGACTCCTTTGCCCCCTGACTCGAATATCCAGGAGTCCTATCCTCATCCTGGTATTTTTCCCTGGAATTGTCTTCATCCGTCGACGAATGCCCTTTGCCACTGCATCCAGAATCGTCATTTCCTTGGGTCTGTTTTCCCCGATTCCGGAATTCTTTATCATCCTCTGCACTATAATTATTATCCTTCGAACGATTCTTGTATCGTTCCTGTTGTCTCAATCTCTCTGCTTGTTCAGCCTGCTTGCGTTCCAGTTCGGCTAGTCTCTGCTCGTACTCCTTCTTCCAAAAGGGTTCATCCGTGGGGGTGTACCTGTTCGGTAGTGGCTGTGATTTCACGTTCTTTGGATCCTTGATCGACTCACTTTGCAGCGTCAGCTTCACCGAGCTCTCGTTCTTCCTGTTCACCGTCTCCTGCTCTTTGCGGGTGGGAACGAACCGAATCGGTTTGGGGTAGGACAGCTTAATATCCAGCGGGGGAATCTCTGGTAGAGGCGGTTGCCGCATCACGGGTAATGGGATGTGCACCAAAAGAGGAGATTCCGGTTGCCTAGAGTCAGGGGTTCTCGGATCGAGCGGAAGCGGCGTTGATGCAGGGGATGTGGCGTTCGTCATAGGGGTTGAAGTGTTACTTCCCCCATGGAAAATCTGCTCGTACTCCTGCAAATGATTTAGAACACTGCCGTTGTTACCGAAGTTCAGCACACCCGTGAATCTGATTGTTTCGCGTTGCCGAGCCGCGGCTGTCGAGGATGTTTGAGATGAGTTGGACGAAGACGATTGGTTAGCCGCTAACGGGGTTGCTCCTCCATCCGTAGGTGGATCGGAATTCGGATTAGATAACGCGGCCACTTGGATACCGTCCACATTGTAGCCAAAAACTTGCGCCAATCCCGAAAGGATTAAACCCAATGCACGTTTGTCCCTTTGACTGTCCTCTTCCAAAGATCCGTGATGTTCATGCGATTCGAATGGTTCTGAAGGATTTAAAGTTGATCGATCGTTCCTGTCATCATTTTCATAAGAAACAGCGAACGTGCACGATAAGCACAAACAACACAAAACGTACAATGTCCTAAGTTTCATCTTTGACGCTTGAAGCACTTTTTCTGTTAGGTAGCTGATTACACTTTATATGCACTGACCGCAGTTGAACACTGTGCCATGTTTCAGTCACGTTTATTCTGAGCCACTATTTTAGATCCTACATTTTATCGATGAACCGTGATCCTAGGTTGTAGTTTAGAGAATGAGATTACTGTACAGTTTTTGATATATTCGATTGATTTATATGATTAAGAATCGAACGAGGGATTCCATCACGTGACGAAGTTTTACGCGATTCGCAGCACAGTACTGTCAAACTTGGGAAGTCCCCGCGTACTGTCCACCGACCGTCTTGCTCTAGACGTCGTTAAACAAAAGTGTCCTATGGCGGGGATGAATTTTTGCATAACGTCGGAAAGAAATGTCGAGTTTCTCCTCAATTGCACAGACCTGCCCGTTGATTTGCGGCAACTGAAGCGGCACGGTACACCGCGGGAAAGAAACGCCGCGGAATACTGCAGAATCTGACGGTGGTTGTTTCTTTAGGCGTAACACAATAGATTCTAGGTATAATTGCACGCGTCGTCGCGGGGACGCAATTACGCGAGGCAACCGGCCATCGTTCTTTTAATTAACTGAAAGTACGGTCTGTCATCTGCTAATTATTTTGGAGTTCATTGTACGTAGCGTTTTATCAATTTTTGGAATAATGTAGGAAGGATGTCGTTCTCTGCTAATTATTTTAGAATTCACTGCAGATGGTGAAACGTATGCTTGGCTTTGGGAAATATCGTTCATTGTTAATTACATTGGAATGTAGTGCACGTATAATTTTTTGGATGATATTATCTTTAGACAGAAACATTCACTCGGACATACATATGCATGATTGCTTTTTCCATACTCTCTGAAAAAAATTAGAGAATTAAGACAAGGTTTTTATCTTGCCATTATTAAATTCCAAACACCATTTAGCACGTCAGACGAAGAAAAGCGTGCTGCGAACCATGAAGTCAGACCGGTATAATGACTCCGTTCCTTTTTTTCCTATTATTAATCAATCGTTAGGTGATGCTCGTTAACGTACGATTTCACTACATCCTTTACGAAGCGAAAGGGAGCTCATTCATGCATGCACGTATTGTGTAGTAATTCATATTTCCAACTGAATAGAATTAGATCTTATCCATTTAATGGATCTCTAAAAGCATTTTAAACGTTTATTTCTATATAGACAATCATACAAAAACCGACTCTATGAACACGAACTTTTTCATCAGAGGATAAAACTATATAGATCAGTTTCCCCTTCGTTTCTTGCTTTACCCATTTTATTACCAGAAATTCTCCTATTGTTGCACAACATAGGAAATGAGACTATTAATGGTATCCATCGAAGAAGAATTTAATCGACCGTCACGGGAGAGAGCAAGTGAAAATAAATATATACACACACACATACACACGCGATATTGTTGTTCCCACGAAAGGCACTTTTGATCAGCGGATCGTTACAAAAAAGCATCAGTCAATCCGTAACGAGCGCCATATTACGGTAATCGAATCAAAGTATCGAGTAATATTGGCCAATTCACGACCATGTTCCGAACAATAAGCTGGAGTCGAGTTTAGATATTTGCTGGTCAGGCTTTCATAAGTATGTCGATTATGTCACCTGTTCTCCACCCAGAGAAAGTCCGAACAAACGGTGTCACTTCGATTTCCGGGACTGGTGTGACAAAACCTCCTTAAGGGGACAATCGCGTCCCAAGAGGGACCGAAAAAAGGAATTTTAACGTTTCCAGTCGTAATGCTATTCGGGAAAAGGGCTCGTTTTTATGTAACCCGCCCAGTTCCTGCTTGCTATTTGTTCTGACTCCGTGAATGGTGCTACGCGCTCGTTCCAGGTCCGTCCTGATCGGACCGGCATGTCGGTAATTACTTAATTACTTTAGCAGAGTAATTATGGGACGCGCGAAACCCAGCGAATCGCGTGCACAGCATTTGGGAACATTCTCAGGATTATTTTCCTCATTATCCTCGCTCGCGAACAATGCTGAATTATAACATAATGTTATAATTCATAATGTAATAAAAATATAATGTTATAATAAAAACATAATGTTACTGGAATTGCTTAGGATCGTCGCGGCGATTATTTTACGATAACGAAATTTACGTGAAATCGTTGCGTTGCCACACGATATCTATGTCTCGATGTATGTTATTATTTTGTAATTCTATTGGTACGACATTCTGAAGTACGCAAGTGTTGGTCTACAAAGCTAGGGTTCATTGAAATAACTTAATCAGAACAGACACTTGTTCATGAATTCCAAACTTTTCGAGTACCGTAAGTTGGGGTAACTTTGTCCCAAAGAAAGAAAATAAAATATTTTTTAAATCCCCAACACAAAAAGTACGGGTTATTAACTGATAAATTAAAAATTTAATGAGTCCCATTCCCCTGGAAAGTATTGAATCGATTTTAATGACACATGGCTACTAACCTTCCCAGAAATATAAATTTAAAACAAAAAAAAACGCAACAAAATCGGATAACTCGTTGATGAGCTACGGAGCCATACTCCCCCTCTTGCGTCGAGGGTTAATGATCATTTTCGATTTTGCGGCTTTTTGCAGGTATTTTCCGTGAAATACGTTCTCATGTGAAAATCACCTTAATTTAACAATTTACAGAGCTGCAAAATCGCAAATGGTAATTTCTTGACTTTGGGACAAAGTTACCCTGACTGACAATAAAAAGTTACAATACTAAAAAACTAATCAAAGTTACCTCTCCTTACGATAGTAAACATTTCCTCGAAATTCATTCTAATCGCTCAATAAAAATGAAACGATCAAAGTCGAGCTCCAACTTTCCCGTGTTGGACGGTCAACAATAGAACAAGTATTTTCTTACGTGATTGCTGATTCGATTAAGGATACTTGTTAAACTCGAGAGAATTCCGCATATACACATACATGTTTCCCGGCGCTGGTACCAGACGAAACTATCATTGGGTCGCGGTTGTTACGTGGCTCGATAGTCCCTTAAATGGTAACTGTATCGGGGACTTGTCTGTTGGGGAATTAGAAAATACCGGTGGATCTGGAGTCTGGCGCGCATAACGCGACAGAAATTTCCATAGAGTATCGGGTATAAAAGAACTGTCCACCCTATAGACCACACAGTGTGACTGTGAGCAAGGTTTAACCATGAATCCTCTGGTAAGGCACGATTCCAGAGCGTTGGAGTTTTCCTCGAGATCGAGAAATCGGATTCTCGATTAAGTGAACCGGTGCTTATCAGAGATTTAGTGCCTTAGTGACGTAATATCATTATTTTAGTCGCTGATATTGTTGCTTGTCTTTGCTTTGGCCTCGTGTGCCACCGTACCTGACAAAGTGACGAACGCCAACGACGTGCCTCAGCAAGCAGCTACTGATAAACAGGCGGAAGTCGAACCTCAGGATGGGGCCGAGGATAAAAAAGTAGCTAAAAGAAGTTACGGGTGGAATCCTTGGAGTTACATAGGGTACAGTTACGGATGGCCTTGGTAGGTAGATTATTGTGTAAGACAATTCTGCGATGGGCAGATATTGGTTGCAGAGAATCTCGAGGGTAATAGAGTTGATACTTTTCCGATTAGAAATTGTTTGAATCGAAATCGTTTAGAACTTCGAATATGGTCTTAATAAGTTATGTACAAGTGATATAAATATTTACATATTTTGTAAATACCTGGGGCATTGATGAGACGAATCTCTGCAGCAACCGAATCGAAATAGTATTTAGACAGTTCAGGATCGAAATGTTGACGAATCACTAATTTTAGGTACGGTTTTGGCCACGGATGGTACCCAGGTTGGCCTCTGCCGTATGGTCACGGTTATGGCGGATACGGCGGATATGGATATCACGGTGGATGGTACAAGGGGTGGTAATCAGGGGTGGATAGAGTAATCGACGTTCATTAATATATTATGTCACGATTTCTCTGGTACTTACGAGATTTTGCACTGAAAACAGATTATGTATCATAATGCTAAGACTGAGTCTAATGTTAAAACACAATACCTTGAAAAGTATCAGCGGATGATTGCAAACATTATGATTGTTGATGTCCAATGAAATAAATTGTAATTCAGGATAATCACTCGACATTTCTTTTATACGTTCTCAACATGGTTATTCTTTGAATGGGGCGGTCAGCAAGAATCACATACTTTCACAAAATGTATTATTTAACGATTAACTCGTGACACTCAAGAAATTTTTTACTAACCTGTGGATTTATATTTTAAAAACTTTCTCTGAACTAATTCATCGTTTAATTAATCTCTCAGTGACACATTTTATAGTATTTAATTATTTTACGATCATTCTATGTAAGCTTAATTTATAAGTAAAGATCCTAATAAAATGAATAAATAATTTATAAGGTAAAAGGGACAGAAATAATTTTACACATACCCTTAGACGCTTCCGTATATAATTAGCTAGTATTTCTTCACATTCCGTCAAATTTTTATCTGTATCCTGTGAGAAAAGTGCATATATTACACTTTGCGATGTGAATGACTAATTTCTATGAATCAACCTTTAAGATGCTCGTCAGCTCCTTGATTTTCTCCACTCTAGCTTGTTGTTCCTCTGTCGAACCGTTGCACGCTTGATGCGAATTCGTTGCGTTCATTGCAAACCGGGATTAGGAACGTCTTACTTTTTCTAGTTTCACGGCAGAAATCCATAACACTTGTCGTACATCGTGACATTCTGTGTCGCACCTGATATGCGGTATATTGTTGCCTAGAAACGACTAGCACAACACAAACGTTATCGGATACTTTCACTTTTTTAATATAATTTTCTCTTGGTTCATATTCGAATACTTTCAAACAGACGTTACAATTTTATCTGTAAATTTATAAAATGATTTTAACATGTGATCAAATGTTTGTTACTTCGTTCTTTATCATTTGCTGGTTTGTAGAGTTCTACCTTGACTACTATAACATTGAAGAAATTCAATTTATCTGTACAGAATTTATTTCAACTTTGCTATTAATTAATTGCAATGAGAAACTTAGAAGAGTAAATTATATCTTATTATTAAAGAAATAATTGAAAAATACTTTATGTAACATCTGTTAGACACATACCTTTCGTCGCTATAGTAGATTGCATGAATCCTCTACTTCCGTTCTAGAGCTTACGAACTGCCTCACTAGACGGCGAGGTGAAAGGGGTGAGAATTGGAACTTCTGTGAGGCGATAGTACATGAAATAAAAAAACATTATTTTCAAAAGTATACTATAAGCTCGCGACTTTCTTTTGGATAATAAAAATAACAATCTTGCAGTCACGTAATGTTATATATTTCCAAAAATGAATAATGTTGTTCTGCAACGCTCTCCACTTCGTGTCCAAAGTATTCACTACCATAAAATTAGCAGATGGATATTAATCCAAATCAATATTCAATAATTTATTATAAAGATTCTTGTATCCATTACTGCACTATAAAATCATACAATACTTAAAAACACCGATTCCAAAATTAAATTCACAATGATTATAACATTCCTATCATACTACTCAATATTTATCTATTCCCCGTACGGGACACTAAACAAAAAAAAATGGCCCGCTGGTACCCAGTCCCGACAGGAGTTAAAGGGTAACCGGCTCCGCGTTTTGCGTATCAAGTTTATTGCTCTTAAGTAGACACTGTCCATTACCAACAACAAAGGGATGGAACAGCATCCCCCTCCTCTTTGGTGGACCAGTTTTCTGTCAGCGGAAATTGACCGAGAAGATTTTCGAATGAGAGTCAAAGGCTAACTCGATGCATTTTGCGGTTTGACTCCGGGCACAATGGAGTGGACAGTAGCCATTGTTGCGAGGAGGCAGCAGCATCCCCATCTGGATGGACCCGTTTTCCAACAGGATCCGCGAGACTGTCCCAGGACTGGATACCGAGGGGCCAGGACCTTGCCACGCGAGCGAACAGGTTTCTCTCGTAGGGATGATACTCTCTGTTCCGTGATCATGATCCAGATCAGGTGGAAAACTGGTCCATCGTTCGGATACCCTTTCAAAAAAAAAAAAGAAGAACGGGAGCAAGTCGTCCACGTGCTGTTTGACCGAGCAGAGATCAGAGATCAGAGCAGCGAGAAGTGGTTGGCAGGTACATGATTTCGCGATTGGGAACAGGTAGCGTTATCGTGGTCCTTATTTTCATTATTAAAACTTCCTAAAATCATGCCTACATCAATATTCGTTTAAAAACAGATTTTCGGTGTAGAATCTTAATATTTAATTTTATTCTGAACTATACAATGAACAAATTCTCCGAAATAATTATGAAGTAGTATTATCATGATTATTCTCCTGAATCTGTTCTAAACAAGTGTACCCCTTTGTTTACCGTCCACATTATTATTACCATCGAATCCTTTCTCATGGGCTCGAGCTGTCCGGTTCGATTTCCGCGGGACTTGTGTCCCCGAGAAAATTCTCTTGTCGTGGCTAAACGAACTCCCTGAAAGAAGGGGGTTGTTCGAGGCTGAAGGACAAAGGAGAGCCCGAGCACTCGATCAAAAGTGAAGTAAAGAAGAGAGAAAAAAAAAAACACGAGAGAAAAATAAAGGCCTGTGACGTGTGTGTCACATGAGACGCCGAAACCAGCCCACATTGGCCACTTCTTTCACCTGTCCATCATTCGTTGCTCACCCCGTCCCCACCCCACCCCTCCACGTCCGTAAAGAAGACGTACCCGCTGAAAGAGGACATTTGCGTTTCCGTGCTCGTACCAGTCATTGTGCCGCTTTTATCGGCCGTTTCGCGTTCTCAGTTCCACCCGGGAATCCTGGTATTCGTCGTCGTGGAGAATACTTGAAAAGGGAGGGCGGAACAATAATTGACTGCTTTATTCCGGATTCCGGGTCGGTTCCTCGCGTACGGATACGTAATCGCCTTATACCCTTCGACGTACACGCGATCGGTCTGAATCATTACTATACACCGTCTAAACGGGATGTACCCTCGCGAACAAACTCGACTTCCGCTAGGGGAAATAGTGACGTAGAAGAAAAGCCTCCTACCGGTTAGTAAATTTATTTCAAGTACTAAAATAAATGTTAAACCGAATGTTAATTTGGCATAAATTTCAGTAACTCCCAAAACTAAATTGTAAGAATACCTTCGCCTATCTCACTTTTTTACCTAGCGGAAGCCGAGTTTGCTGGTTAATCTACCCTCACCAGCAAAGTTGGCTTCCGCTAGGGAAAAAAGTGTCGTAAGAGAAAGGCCTTCCACCACATGCTATCGAGAATCACAAAAAATTTATACAAATTAACAGTAGATTTAACCTTCATTTCTGTACTTGACATAAAATTACCAAGTGGCAGGAGGCCCTTCTACTCCACTTTTTCCCCTAGATGAAGTCGAGTTTGCACGTAGTGTACACTGACGTGCAAAGTCGGCTTTCGTTGTGGGAAAAAATGCCGTAAAAGAAAGGCCTTCCACCACATGCTATCGGGAATCACAAAAAAATTATACAAATTAACATTAGATTTAACCTTCATTTCTGCACTTGACATAAAATTACCAAGTGGCAGGAGGCCCTTCTACTCCCCTTTTTTCCCTAAATGAAGTCGAGTTAGCACGTCAGTGTACACCATCGAACGAGAACCACCGTCTTAATTCCGTCACTCGATATATCGAACGAGCACCGTGACCTCGCGATGGGGATGAAACGAAATAAAACGAGCGGTTATCGAGAGCACTTTCGTTCGTCGCGCGGAAACGAGGCACGAAGGTGCGCGCACGCCTCGTAGAAATACCCCCTTTTCGTGCTTCACCTCTTTCGTCGTTCGTCTCTGTCTCGGTCCCACCAGTCGGGTTAATTTGAGTTTTCGATCGTCAAAGACGCCGCTCTCTACCCCCGCGAACCGGGTGGAGGACCATGAAAAGGTTTCGGTACGGTACACGCCGCGTTACCTCTATTCGTATCGGTAACGAGACCGACTGCTCCCACCCCCTCCAACACCCCCGCCCCCCAGATACTCGTTGAAAGTGTACGGAGACGTAGACACGCGGTATTGCTAGGACACCCCGTATATAGGGGAGGGCGTATTTGTTTTACTGCCTGGCTGCTGGCATTGGTTGAGAACGTGCTCTGCATTCTTGAAATCGTGCCACCCTTGTTACGGCGTAGACTCTCCACTGCTTTCCCCCCTTCACCTCGCCTCCACCGCCATCAACCTGGCTTCTCTCTCTGTTTCTCTTCTTTGCTGGCGGTGGTGCTACCGCCAGGCCATCGACAGAAGGATCGTCATCTTTCCCCCTCGTCTTGCCCAGCCATAAAAATCCTTGACTCCTGTAATGGTCAGGCGACGGCGGTGGCGCGAGCCCGAGGAACACTCGCATACGTGTTCACCATATTTTTGAATAAGGAGGAGGATATTGCTCTGATGACTGGGGATCGCTGGGTGGAGCAGTATCCGAGGGGTGTTTTTCCTTGAATTCTTATCGACTCCGGGACTTGTGCTTTGTGGTGAATCGACGGGGAATAAACGGGGGCGTTTGAACGTGTTAATGTTGTTCGGAAATGCGGAATTCTATGAATTTTTGGTTTCAGCGTGATCGTCGGATTTTGGAGAGTTACCTTAAGCAGCTAATGTATTTCTACAATCGATATAAATTATAAATAAGTGCTAATGAAAGTTGGGCATAATCACCCACATGCAGATAAATTATACATAAGTATTAATAAAAGTTGTATATATTGATACACTATTTAGGAGAATACAGCTATTCTGAATTTACCTGCTACAAATATCCAAATATGAGATCTGTCATGACATAGTGTACCTACTAATTTATTCTCATGAAACATGCTACTAACGCCATATAACTGTTTGTACAGTCTACGTTTTC